CATGTCAATAATGCCCTTGAAGGAGAACTGCAAGCACTACTCATAGCAATGCAACTCTGCTGGAGCAAAGGTTGTAGAAAGATTGAATTTGAAGGAGACAACAAAACAGTTTTGGAATTACTTCAAGGTGTGAACCGAAATTTCAAGGTCTACAATTGGATTAGGGAGATAAGGCAATGGCAAAGACGATTCGAAGAAGTAAGATACAACTGGATTAGTAGAAGCAACAACAATCCGGCTGATATTTTGGCTAAACAACCTTCTCCCTCAGGGATCTGATTTTGTTTTCCATTTCTTTGTTCCTTCTGTAATAACATCAGCTCTTCATTTGAACTACGGAGGATTACTACACTAACCTTAGAAAGTATCTATATTACTTGTTTGGCGCACTTTTATTTTTTTTACAAAACTAACCTAGCATACCCAAAACACCCTTTTCGCCTTTGTTGAAAAAAACCTAATTACGAAAATGCCATTACTTTTTTAATGCCATGTAGGCAGATTATAGCGCTGAAAATTTGATAAGTCTACCAGGCTTTGACGGTAGACTTATCAAATTTTGGTCAACGCAAAAATTTTGTCGGTAAAGTTATTAGGTCGATGGTAGATTTATTCGAGAGTTGGTAGAGTTTACAAATGTTGGTAGACTTATCTTGGTAGAGTTTTGACGATGAGAGGTAGATTTATTATGTTTCGGTAGATTTGTTGTTATGAATGGCAGACTTGTCAAACGTGTTGGTAGACTTGTTAAAGAAAGCATTGACTTTCTCGCATAGTTGACTTTCTCGGTAGATTTATTGACAATGAGGTAGATTTATTTTCTGAGTTGGTAGACTTATGCCCTTTGGCAGTAGATTTATGTGAAAAAGGGTGTCAATACGTGATGGTAGATATATCTGTTTTATGGTAGAGTTATATCTTGTTGGTAGATTTTTTGCTTTTGTGGTAGATATATTTTTTTGTGGTAGATTTAAATTCAAGTAAAATTCATTCCAGTGAGTGGTAGATTATTTGTTACATGAGGTAGACTTACAAGAATGTTGGTAGATTTATTTGTTTTGTGGTAGATATGTTTGTTTTGTGGTAGATTTAAAATTCAAGTAAAATTCATTCCGGTGAGTGGTAGATTATTTGTTACATGAGGTAGACTTACAGAATGTTGGTAGATATGTTTGTTTGTTTGGTAGAGTTTATGTAGTCTGGTAGAGTTATCGTACGTATGGTAGACTTCTTATAATAATCATGTGGTAGATTAATTAAGTTTGGTATTTACAAAGATAATCTGATCTGGTAAACATATGAGGTGCTTATGGTAGACTTGTTTATATGGTAGAGTTATTTTTCATTCTTGAGGTAGACTTAGTTGTTAATGTTTGGCAGACATTTGATTTTATAGATTAAAATTACTTTTTTGTCCTAAAAGTATTGTCTTATCTACGAATAGACTTGTTTTGAAGTGTAGTATGTTAAACAGGTTTCGTACATATGGTAGACTTGTTCCATAGTTATATTTGAGTTGGTTTTGTTACCATTGACGTTTTCTTCGCATGAGTTTGCTAAGATTATGTCGGTTAACTGTGATTCGATCACAGATAATTATTGGTCTTTACGATATAGATGACATAATCAATGGTCAAAAATTTCTAACATGAATATTTTTTCTATGATATATCTTTTCTCTAAGAAAACTTTGCTTTTCATATTAACTTTGAACATATATGTCATATCTGTAATAACCATCTCTTAACTTATGATTTTTTGATTTTTATTTTTGAATATTTGTTACATTTAACTCTATTTACATAAACTCTTACAACATCACAATGTCAAATGATTTTAGTCATGTGTTTTGATTAAAATTTTATTCAGTTATGATATACATCATAGTGAAAGTAAAGAAATAAATTAAATTAAATAATAACATTACTAGCAAATATGGTAAAAATGTGAAAATGTCTGGGTCAATGTTTTACGACAAATATAATTTGAAAACAACAATATTATCATTTAAAATCTAATTATCATTTTTACAAATTCAAAATATAGATATACCATCAATTTAATAATAAATCTACCATTATTTCAAAACAAATCTACCAAATGCAAATCTACAATTCATAGTAAAACATGTCGGATCGATGCTGGATATCCCATCAAAGATTTGTTCACCATGGCAAAGCCTATAATCTGTCAGAAAAAAAAATAAACAAATACTGTCATTCGTATACAAAATTCAAATATATACGACTGATAAATCTACCATAAATAATTAATAAATCTACCAAACACAAATCATTTTTCAAATAAGTTACCATTAAATGACTAATAAATCTACCAAATCACATCGTTTTAAAAATAAGTCTATCATTAGATGACTAATAAATCTACCAAACGACATCATTTTTTATAATAATTTTACCATCAAATAACTAATAAATCTACCAAACCATATTTCGTTTTCTAAATATATCTACCATCAAATAACTAATAATCTACCAAACTACATATCGTTGTTCAAATAAATCTATCATCACATATTATGAACTTTACAATATCGATTTCCAAATATATCTACCTAACGTACCTGAAAAAAAATTAGGGATACAGTTTTTACAAAAAAATTTACGCCGCCGACAACCTCCACAACACCACCATTCCATCGAAACAACGTCTGTCCACTGCGGTTGTGCGCGACGCAGCAAGAATGCTGCTAAAGAGTCATGCCAAATATTTTTGAGATCTCCAACACCAAGATCTGTGTGGATCTGCGAAAAAGAGGGAGGCTGTGAAGAGATAAAAAGGGAGAAGGAAGGAGAAAGCTCCAAAAAGAGGAAAGCTGCGAAAAGAGGGAAGCTGCTAACCGGAATTTTTCGAGCCAGAGGAGAAATCACTATGTTTGCCTATCAAGAAGCTCTACATGGAAAGCGAGGAAGCTGCGACGATGGAAGATTCAGAGCTGATGGGACCATATCTTCGTGCCGCAGAGACGCCGGTGACAAGAACCAATCTTCGGCGCAGTCTTCTTCTTCTTATTCTTCTTCTTCTACAACGGCGACAAGAACCAAATTAGGGTTTTTTTTAATAATCAGATTTTTTTTTTTCTGTAGAAATATACTTGTACTCGTTTTTTTTTGTAGAAATAATTTAAAAAAATTAATTTTTTAATTTTTATTAATCAGAATGGCATTTTTGTAATAATTTTGAACAGCTGGATAAAAAAATTAATTTTTTTTAAAATTTTTACTAACCATAATGGTATTTTCGTAATAAGTTTGAACAGATGGATAAAAAATATCAATTTTTTTAATTTTTATTAACGAAAATGGCATTTTCGTAATAATTTTGAATAACTGGATAAAAAATTAATTTTTTTATTTTTATTAATCAGAATGACATTTTCGTAATAATTTTGAATAGTTGGATAAAAATGACTTAAACCAACTTTATAAGGTTAGTCTTGTAAGCTGATCCATATGTTAAGCTAGGTTTGTCATTTCATCAACCTTAAAGTCTAGTATAAGGAATTTTCACTTTGAAATATGTAGCTATTTAATATCAATAAAAAGGCGTTACAAAAAAAAAATTCAAATGGTATTTCGGAGTATCCAAAACCACTAGTTCAATTCCATATGTATGGGTAATTTACACCTTAAACGTGGCATTGAGAGAAATTCCGGACTTAAGGTCTAAAATATTTTAGGCTTATAAAAAAATTATATATCAAAAATTTCCAAACCAGTGATTGATTAGATTTTACATTCGTTTTTTAACAAAATTAATGAACTTATATACTCGATAATCGAGAAAATGTGGTGATACAGCCATATAAAAGTCATCAGGAGTTTCGTTAACCAAACTATTCCCTAAATGTTCGATAATGGTACGTATACTGATATTTCAATATACATCCAAATATTGTACAGTACAAGTTTAGACTTTTATGCTAAGAAAATCAACTTCATGGGTTTGTTGAACCACATACGTACAAGTAAAAAACTTAAATGAAATATAGCTGGTATTTTATATTCTTGAACTTGGTAAGACCAATTTTTGATGAAAATGAAAATGATCTAAATTGGTAGGACTGAGAACTTACACATGCTAGCTTTCCCGTTCATATACTACTCGGACATAAATGTGTTGGATGTCTTCTGGTTGAATAGTGGGAAAAATTTGATGTTTCAATACTCATTTGACAGGACTGGATTCGGAATACATATATATGTTCAAACCAAAGTACCTAAATATATGGTCATAAATACTCCATGCAAACATTTTATCAATATGAGCCAAAATGTATCCTAATATTTGATACAAAATACTTTCATATAATATTACAAATCATTCAGATTAGATCCAGATATCTGCAGATATTGGTGGATATAAATTCAAGTAATAACTTTTAAGATCCATCAGATTCAGATTCAAATTCGGATATCTGAAACTATAAGGTATTGGATCATGCCAACCTTTACTAGTGAGATGTTATAAATTGTAGTTAGGTGAACAGTTACTGTGTTCAACAATCTGAGATGTGGAGTCTACTCCCTTCCTACAACTTTTCAAAGTTGGACCCAAAAAAATCAGTGCTTTAAAGTCTACCAAATATCAGTGCTGAAGTCAAAGTCTTTCCTACACCCAATAAAGCAAAAACAACTTAAATTCCAAGTTAGATTTTACTTTTCTACATTTTTGGTTTTACAAAGTTACTTTAGTCTAATGTTTTGTTATGTGATTACCTGTAAACACACAAATATGCAAATAGGGTATTATCATTAAGAGACTAATTCTTTTGTGTTTGATCTAATAATACAAATATTATATGTGACAAAAGTTTGCCATTTTTATAGCATTAAAATAAGAAAAAAAAATTACCAAAAGAAAGTTAAAAAGTAAGAAAAAAACAAAAGGTGTCTTTTTTTTGGTAGGAGAACTGTTGTCTAGACATTCCTATAAATCTGTCTCTCTAACTTGTTGCTCTTCTTTTTATACCTCACAATTTGCTATTAAGACATTTGTCAAAAATAAATATTCTCAAGCAATTTATTTCTCTTCTAATCCTCACGATGAGCCATAATACCAGAGGAACCTCACTTTCTTCTCACAATCTTCATAATTCGGACGAGAGAGTCCCTCTTCGATCAGATTCAGACCAGTCTTGTCTGAATTCAAGCCCAGAGTTCGATTTTTGCCTTCGTCAGAACTCAAAACAACGGTTTTCTCACGCAGAAGAACTCTTCTCTGACTGGAAAAACCTCTCTCTCACTACCCCTGCCACGGTCTCGAAGAAGACAGAGATTACTCCTCCTAGAAGCAATGTACAAACCCTAGCTGCGAAATCCGATACAAGAGACTCTGACTCGGATGATCCAAGTTTTGGGTGTGGGTTTTGGCTTGTCAGAAGCAAATCTGTTGGGTACTCGATGAGAAACAAGAAGAAAGATTCTTCTTCGGAATATCATCGGAGCAATAGCGATCCACAGAAAAAGAAGAAGACGAGTTTGCAGAAGATGAATTCTACAGAGATTAGGGTTCCAAGATCCACTAAAAGTCATTCGTTGAATGTCCCATTGGCTGATATATTTTGCTTAGGCCCTGTGATTTCCGGCAGCCACGATCGGAGAAAGTGAAGAGTGTTTTTCTTAACCCAAATCACGAACTAATTTCCAAAACTTATGAAAACCCGGTTTTTCTTACCATTTAGAACGTTAATAGTGGTTGTATTTGATTTTTTATTATTTATTATTGCTATTAAATTTGGAGTTTAAAGACTAAATAGAACTTAAGGCGGATAGATTTTTACACTAATAAAAGATTATTTGATTGTAAAGATTAGTATAATTTAGAATGTAATTTTCACATTTCATAGGAGGAAATATACTATTTTGTGAAATGGTTTCATTATACCGGCCAAAAAAAGATCAAACCGACAAACGATCAAATAGTACAAATACTAGTCAAACAGAACACCTCGATTGATCAAAACGTGTGGATTTAAGAACCTTTTTGACTAATAAGATTGACCAAAGTTGACTGATACATAGATGATCATTCTTTGATAAATGTAGTGTGTTTACTGGTATTGTCGTCTTACTGTTTTCTAGAAGATTTACTTACAAGAAATAACCTCTTCTAAATACCAACTTTGCAGGTTAGGTTCTTTTGCAGTGCTAATAGTAGATGACTTAAAAAAAAATAGAATGACATAACTACAGTTGAGTTAGAAAGATCAGAAAAAAAAATGATTCTTTCATTATACTAACTCATGGTCAAAAGTCGGAATCGTCCAAAGCCCAAAACCAACGTCGAAATAATTGAAAAGAACATTGAATTCCTTTTAGAGTTTTAGTCCAATGTAATTATTATGCAAGAATAAACAATCGGACTTTGTCAAAAGAAACCAACAACTAAAATCCATTTGGAAAACTAATAACATGTATATTTATTAGAAAGTTTTGAGCAGCATTGCATTTCTTTTTTACTTAGACTTTGTTTGGAGAGATGAAGATTTGGTTGAATAATACAACAAGATTTGGCAGTAGTTAGTTAACAAGGACCTTTTTTTGTTGTCTTATTGTATATTTTCATCTAATTTTAAGTGTGAAGATTATAAGACCCAAAAAGTATCTAGACGTGTTTTACATATTTCAAAAGTTATGGACACCTTTAAATGACCAACAAATGGTTTGTTGATCGATCGTTTTTGGTTCTAGACCAGTTAAGGAAAAATAGAGAGGCTGATATATGTCTTACATATATTTAGTCAACAGAAGCTATAAGAAGACTAATTCAAACACTTGACCAACTTACTTCTCCATTTGATTTAATCTAATATCAAACAAAATCAAATCTTTGGTGAAATATTTAGAAAGACTTTGGTTTTTAGGCTTGTTGTGTTTGTTCTTGTTTCTTAGTAGTTTTTTTGGTTTTTCTCCGTTTCATGTGTATCAGCTATCAAGTAAACTTTTTGTAATCGAAAAATGGTATAGCTTAACATTGTTACAAAAGAAAAGGTTTAAGAACAAATATTTATTAGAAAACATGATGACAAGTGATTATGATTTATGAATGGTCAGAGTTAATGTGTTTGGCAAATCTTATTTGAAACAATTGTTACGACCCCATATTGATTCTGTATAATACTAATTAGTTTCTTACAAGGTTCTATGGTTTTCTTTTTTTTCATCTGATGGATATATAGATTTTTGAGGACAAAGTTCCAGAAGAAAGAAGACAAACAAAGAGATAAAATCTATGAAGACGATATGAAAGAGCTGAAAATTATAGACTCCTAAGCACTAAAACTGAAACAACTCTTATAAAGTTCTGTGTGTGAAATTACTCTTAAACTAACTTTTGGTGGTTAATCCTATCCACTTGATTTGTGGAGGCATTGAATTGGGTTTACTATGAGCATGATTTAGTCAGCATTTGTACATGAACGAATGTGACAACATCATTCGATTTGTTTATTTTGAAAGAATCACAATAGTTCTTATATCAAAAATGTATGCTTACGTTTACAAACAAATTCTGAACCAAAAAACACAACCAAAATTTTTTACAAACAAATCAAATCACCAACACACCAATAAGCACACAATCAAATCCAAGAATTTATTCTCATCAATCAAAACCCACACCAAAAAAAAACCAAAGAATAATTCGTGGGAAAATCAAAGCTTTGAAAAACGAAAAATATCAGTAGATTTGTCTGTAACCCAGAATTGTCCGGCCACCGCCGCCAACGGCTTTTCTCCCTCCTCCTCCTCCTCCGTTGCCGTTAATGGCAGAAGCAGCAGCCATTGATATTTCCTTGAGATCCTCAACGCTCGCGTAACTCTTACGTGCCAATCCCATCAACCCTCTACTCTTCTTCTCCCCTGCACTCGCCGATTTGCTTCCTCTCGCGGCAGCTGAAGAAGAAGAAACCGATCCCGACAAAACGCCGCCGTTTCTACTCTTCGAAGGATGCGGCGGAGGAGTAGTGTTGTAGTTAACCGGACGGCGATTCTCTTTACGGATCACGGCGGAGAAATTAGGCACCGATTGAGCCAACGAAGAAGACGGAGTTTTTCTCGGAGAAAACCCGAACCGAGTCTGTTTCTTCTTCTTCTCCGGCGTAAAAATCTCTTCCACTCGTGAAATTACCGGATTACCCTCGAACCTCACTTGTTTTTTCTTGGGCTCTTCTTCTTCTTCCTCTTCGAGAAATTTCTGGAAATCTCGTTTCATCCGAAGCTTCGATTCTCGCAGCCGTGAGTATTCGTCGTATCTTGGTCCTCTCTCGAATCCGCAGAAACCGTCTAACAAGAGTTTAAGCTGATGTGTGTCGGAGTTTTGTGAGAGTATGAGAGACATTGGATCAACAGAGAAAAACAGAGGTTCCATACTAGGGTTTGAGATCGTATCCGCCATTAAAATCTCGCACCAAAAGTTCAGCTTTTTTTACAGAGATTTGTTATGTTTTTTCTTTCCTCGGATTTGTTGTTTGCTTTGGGCTTTATTTATGACTCTTTGTTCTTTCTTCGTTTTATTTCGCAACGGTCTTTTTTGGGGAAGAAAGACTCTTACGACTTTTTTGGTATTGACGGATTTACCCCTTTATTCTTACGTGTAACGGTCCTATTTTGGTAGTGTGGGACCCAGAGAATCATCGGTCAAACGGTCATTAATTTCCTTAAGCAACAATTAGTCAGTTAATTAATATATCAGATCTTTCTTAATGGTTATTAAATTATTAATCATCGATCTATGGGCCGATTAAATTCCATTCCCATCATTTTTTACTGTTTCTATAGAAAACAAGATAGATATACTGAATAAGTAACACCGACAAGGTGATTAGTTTAGTACATAGTACATACATTCACAAGTTAAGAGGCAAAACAGCAATTTTGTCAAAATAAAAGGGGATTAATCACAATTTAAAATTAATCTTCAGCTTACAATATAACCTTACTAGCAAAGACGAATACTAACAATGTTGGACCATATTTGTGTCGAGTGTCCTCACAGCTTCAAAACCTTGTTCCATTCCCGCATCATCGATCTAAACATGATTCGATTCAACAAAAATCAGTCGTGGAATGTCTTTAAGACAAAAAAGTTTCAGACTTTCAGAGATCAATGTTTATCAATTGATGAACAAAAAAAAAATCAGTCATGGAATGTCTTTAAGCCAAAAAAGTTTCAGACTTTCAGATATCAATTGACACAAAGGTTGCTTTAAAAAAAAAAATAAAAACTTACTAGAGATCTCCTGCAGCTGCAAGGCTTTCCCAAAGCCATTCTGCACCACCATCGATGATAAGTGCGTCCAAAACCGTCCTACAACATCTTCTTGGTCCGTTTACAGGTTCTGCTAAGAGAACATTATCACCCATGGCTTTCCAATCTCTAAGAGAAGACGCGAAATCCATGTTGTCTCCTGAGATAACCAGCAGATTCGACGATCCGTTTTCGCTATTGTCCATTAACCAGCACCAAATTCCCCTTATCATTGTTTCAACTCTCGCATATTTATCACCTGCACGTTCGAGCTTTATTCCAGCGGATTCAAAGTAACCTGGGATCTGATTCTTGTCACCGTAAGCCCAGATTGTCACCTCACCACGATAACCCTTACTCGCAAGAGCGGTTCTGATATTCCGATAGACAGATTCAGGATTCAGACCGTTGGGGATCGGACAATCCTCCATGTCCCAGAACACGCATGTCTTTGCCTCTGCGTCCAAACGCATTATCAACAATCAAAGCGCTCTTTGACTTCTTTTGTTTTCTAATTTGCAAAATTTGATCCACAGAGAGAGATAGAGAAAGAGCTTACCAGAGTATTTGCCGGCCAAGGAAGTCATGGAGAAGATGATCGGAGACGGAGAAAGATTAATTAGGGTTTATCGGAGTTGCAAATTATAGGAGATCTATTAGAGTGGTGGGCTCTGGTTTGGCTCAAATCATTGGCCCATCAATATCATAGGATAAGTATTTAAAACAATCATAATGTGCAACATTGTTGATAAGGCGCCAATTAGAAAACAATAGAAAACAAGATGACATACATTCACATATTAATGCGAGAAAACAGCAATTTTATCATAAATAACATTTGAAATTGATCTTTAGCTTACAAATATAAGCTATTACTAGGGATTAACCCGCGCTATAACACGGGAGATATATTTTTAATCTTTAATTAATTTAAATAATTTTATGAAAACAGTTATTTTGTAAAAATAGTTATTGTTATAAAGTCTACAATAATATAGTGCATATTTTTGTGAATTTTAAATAATGAGTTGATATATATATATATATATATGAATTATAAAAAATGAATTAATCCGTATATGAAGTTATTTTATAAGCGTGTAAAAAAAATAAGTTGTTTTAAACCCGTTGGCACTAAACTAAAATATTATTTAGGCTAATATATAAAAATTATAATATAATAATCATCAACTCTAATTTGCATCGTTTAATAATTGACATTTATAATCTGTTCACAAACTATAAAAATTTAATTTTATCTTTTTAACTATATATGAAAATAATATAATATTCTTTACACTTAGGTTTGATAAATAAATATACAACAAATTATCTTTAATTTAAAATATATATAATTTAGTAGATTGAATATATTACTTATTTTAAAAAATTAATATTTTGAATTTTGAGATTTTTTTGTGGGTATTAAAAAATTAAAATTATAATCTGTTTATATAGAATTAACCCGTTTACTTAACATGTTTTTATTGAATTAAAATTTAATAATTAATTATAATATTCACCGTTAAATAACTCTCATTTCATCACAAACTTTTTTTTATTTAAAAATCAATTTTTCATATCAAATTTTTAGTAAAATAACTAAAAATGTATTTTTGTATATATTCAATCAAATGTAGCAAATTATTGAAAAAAAATACTTCACCACTTTTTTAATATCATAATTTTTATTTTGACTTTTATAATATTTATAAATTCAAAAATTCAAAAATATTTATAATATCATAACTTTTAAAATAATTAAATATACTTTATAATATAATTTGAAAATAAAAATAATAAAAAATTATCATATTTTTGAATTTAGAAATTAAATAATAAATATACTCTATTAAATGAGAAAAACTTTCTATATTTTTAGCAATAGAGTTAAAAGACAACTATATCCTTTCTTATTTTAATTATTCTTTGTTATTTGTAATAGTATATCATGTAATAATTTATAAAATAAAGGTTATATTTTAAAATGTCTCCTCAAATAATAATATTGAGATTAGATAGACAAACTATGTACAAAGGATGCAAACAATGTTGGGACTATAGTGTCAAACTGTGTTGAACTTGTATTTCTGCTCCAAATTGAATCGAGAGATTGTGTCGTTGAATCCACATTCAACGAGTGTCCTCACAGCTTCAACACCTTGTTTCATTCCCGCATCGATCTAAACATGGTTCGGTACAAGTACCACACCCGTTTAAGCCAAAAAGTTTCAGACTTTCAGAGATTAAACAGTTAAAAGATGGTGTTTTTTTGTTTTTTTAACCTGTTTACGCTCCAAGGGACTAAATTTCTGGAGAAGAAACGCTTTCATGTCCATGTTACCTGGTGGATTCCCAATTCCTGTAATTTACCAGGCAATTTTTTACTATTGTCTTGTTTATTTGGTGGAAGAGGATTTCGACAATACAACGGGAAACACTAACCGATTGATAAACGGGGAAAGCCACGGCAACCATTTAAATGTTCCGTTACATTCTTCAACCTGGAAACAGAACAAAAGAAGTTCAAGACCTTTACAGCAAAAGCACAAGAAATGTTTATCTTGTTCTAGTTCTCATACACGTGAAATGAATATACATTATCGAAGCATTATCAATGGATCTTAGATCTTGAAATTTTTGTGTTCTTTCAAGTTAACAAATCTCCTTTCCTCAAGAATGAGGATTAAGTTTAGAGATTTGATCAAATTTAACCATTTCCAATTCCAGCTATTTGAAAGCAAGATTGCTGGAGATTTGAAGAATTCTCAACCTCATATCTTAGTCCTTGCCTTATAGTATTATTATAAGCAAAGAAAAGGTATTTGATACCCTGATCAAATCCTTATTCAGCAACAATACTTACCCGTTGTGGTGGCTGTGTCCTCCTTTTGGTTGAAGCCTCAAGACACCATTAGGCAAACCCATGTCATCATATATCTACACCATAAAGGCACATACAAATATTTTAGTCAATTCAGTTTCATTATCATCACACAGCAAAGAAAAAGATAAAATTCCGTACTTACCATCAGAATGTGGCGTAAGGGTACTTGATAATAAGCTGCTAATGGCCCAACCTTCAGAAATGCCAAAGACTTTGAGGGTTATTCAAATCTCATTTAGACAATTATAAGTTATATATATCATTCAAGAATCACTAACCGATTCACCACTGAAATTCATGTATGCCTGAGGTTTAACCAACAAAATCGGAACCTCTCCAACAGCACCTGTTCTGGCCACACAGAGAATCCCAAATAAACGAACAAACACAACCAAATATATGAAAACAAAAGCAAGAAATTAGCAAGAAGAGAACCTATCCCAACTAAAGCTTTGGACTGTATCGTATTCATGGAAATGTCTGTTGTTCGAGCTATATGATCAATCATCTCAAAACCAATCTGCACATAACAAAATATAAGAATAAAAAAGAAGAGAGCTTTTAATTCATGAACTTCAAAATGAAATGAAAAGATTATTTTTTTTACATTATGCCTTGTTCCATAGTACTTTGTTCCAGGGTTACCAAGCCCAACGATAAGCCATGGTGTGTATTCAGCTTGAAGCTTGTTATCAGAAACAGGCAACGAAGCACGCAGAGAGAAGAGTCTCTTCGAATCCGATTTCGTTTGACCAAATTTACAACTTTTTGGGTAGAGAAGAGATTTAATCGGAGGAGATGATGACCCACAAAACATCACCGCAACTGAATCAAAAACAAGATTGGGGAAATTGATAATACCCTAAAACCATAAATTCCACAATCGTTAAGAGAAAAGTAACACTAACCCATCAATGGCGACGAGTTTCTGATGAACTCTTAACTATAAATAAAAGAACTTGACGGGTTTTCGAGGATTTCCAAGGACGATTTGGAACAACTGAAAACGAAACCTTTAGAAGATAAGCTCAAGCTGGAGATGGGAAGGAGTAGACTTAAACCGGAGGGGTTTAGGATGTAAAGGAGTAAGACTTTTTTTTTCTTTTTTTTTTTTGTTTTTCACAACCCAACAATTACATCACATTTGGCCCGTTAAAGAGTTGGTCCGAAAACCGTCTTCAACTGGCTTGGTATGAATGATTTGGGAGAAAATACAACCTCTTGCTCGAGCTCCTTTTGCAAGACTATCCGCTCAGACATTTGAACTTCTGGGGATATGGGATAGAGTGAAATCCAAAAAATTTTCCCGAAGATTGCGGAAGGCTTCTAACTCTGATAAGAATGATGGCCAATCTGATAGCGATTCAGACATGCTAATCAGATCCAAAAAATCGGTTTGAAAGTGTACAGATAAAATTTGTCTATCTTTCACGCAAGACATAACCCATAATAAGCTCTCCAATTCGGCATGAAGGGTCGATAGGCTTCTACGACAGCCTTGAAGGCCAAAAGTCTCGCCACCTCTTTCCTCCTTCAGTCTCCACCCGAACCCACTAACCAGGCCAATGCCTATCCAAGATGCATCAACCTGACAAATTGGGAACCTCGGGGTATCGGGTAGAGGACTATAGAGCAAAGGAGTGAGCGGAGCCTAGTCTGATCCGTCTTCTTCTTTTTCCGGTTGGTTTGCAATCTTCCAACTTTCGGCTTCAACCTTGGCGTGGATCAAAGTATCTACCGGGGAAATTTCTTTCCCGTTGAAGATCTTGTCGTTCCTCGCTTTCCAAATATACCACAGGATCCAAGGATAAATATCCTTTTGAGGATCTGTCATGCCTAACTCTTTTGTTTTCCAAAAGAGAAAGCTCATATTTTGGTAAATAGAGATATTCGGAAAGACACCCGGAAGGGACGGAAAGTCCGATAACGCCCAGACTTGTAAAGCCGGGGGGACATAAAAACAGAAGATGGTTAATAGATTCTTCAGGATTCCCACAGCGGGGGAAACTCTTATCCGTTCCCATATGCCTGTAGGTTAGGTTTTGGCAAGTAGCAATACATCCTGATAAAGCTTGCCACATAAAATGCTTTATTTTTCCAGGCGTCCGTACTTTCCAAACGTAGCTTTGAAGAGCTGTGATACTCGGTTCTCTCACGACATCCAAATTCTGATCAAGGTTTGATTTCCTAATCAGGTCATATCCGGATTTAACCGTGTATACTCCTGTTTTAGTATGGTTCCACGCAAATTCATCAAGGGTATGGTTCCTACTAGGTCTCAACCCAAGGATAAGAGAAACATCCTCAGGTTGGAAAAATTCTCTTAGAAGAGGCTCATCCCATTGCTTCGTATCTTGACGGATAAAGGAGTAAACTAACACTCTTGGGTCTTGAAGTCCGATCTGGAGGGTTGCTCTTGGTGGACGGGCCCTGGCATCAGGTATCCAAGGCTCACTCCACGCCCTCGTATTTAGTCCCGACCCTATTGTCTTCCTTAGTCCCATTTTAAGATACGGTTTTGCGGCCAACATACTCCTCCATCCATAGGATGGTGAGTAGACATTTCAATCCTCTAACGGGTCTGATTGTCGATAATATCTTCTTCTTAGCACCCGAGCCAGAAGAGATGAAAGGTGGATCCCACTGCTAGATTGTTTTGAACTCCACCAAAAATTGGCAATGACGCTCCGAAGTTTGTCTGTAACCCCTTTAGGGAGGAGAAAACAAGACATGACGTAAGTGGGAATGGCTTGAGCCACTGATTTAATCTGAATCTCTTTTACACCCTTGGAAAGAAGTCTTACGGACCAATTATTAACACGATTACTTAGGCGTTCATGAACAAAAGAGAAAACCTTCTTCTTTGATCCACAGATTTGCTCTGGTAGGCCCAAGTACATGCCCATACCGCTTTCTGTAGAAATACCTATGGTATTTTTAATATTTCGTTTGAGATCCGGGTCCACTCTATCTCCAAACATGATAGATGATTTCCCCAAATTCAGTTGTTGTCCCGATGCCATTCCATAAGTGTTTATGATTTGGAGAATCTCCGCTCCTTGTTGGATATCCGCTTTACAGAAAAAACAGGCTGTCATCAGCAAAGAGAAGGTGGGAAACTGGGGGACTTGCTTGAGCAATTTTCAGTCCAGAGATTCGCTCCTCTTCCTCTGCTCCCTTAAGAAGCGAAATAAGGCCTTCTGTGCACAGAATAAAAAGGAAAGGGGAGAGAGGATCCCCTTGCCTTAAGCCCCTCGACGGTTTGATGTTACCTTTAGGTTCTCCATTAATAAGGACCTGGTATGAAACTGATGAGATGCAAAACATCAGTAAACTGACCCATCTCGTTGAATATCCTAACTTGATTAGGAGAGCTTCAATAAAACCCCATTCAACCCGGTCATATGCTTTGCTCATATCTGTCTTGATAGCCATAAAATTTTCCCTGCAATTTGTGTTGGTACGGAGTGCATGGAAATTTTCTTGTGCTAACAGAATATTATCTGTAATAAGCCGTCTAGCCAAGAAGGCCGATTGTGTCACTGATATGATGGTTGGCAGTGTTTTTTTGAGACGTTTACATAGAAGCTTAGAGATGATCTTGTAGCTCACATTACACAGACTGATAGGCCGGAATTCCCCCATTGCTCTAGGTTTGTTTATTTTTGGGATAAGACAAATATTAGTCTCGTTAAGTCTAGGATCAAAAGTTCCGGAACTGAAAAAGTTCTTAACCAGTTTAACAATATCGTGGCGAATAAAAAGCCAGAATTTTTGGTAAAATTTGCTTGTCATACCATCAGGGCCAGGAGCTTTGTCCGGATTAATATCAAAAAGAGCCTCTTTAATTTCTTTCTCCGACGGTTCCTTTAAAAGTAATTGGTTTGTGTTATCTGAGACTTTCTCGGTAATAAACCGGAGGAAATTTTCTGGGTCTGAGGGGATAGACGATGAGAAGAGGTCTTGAAAATACGTAGAGGCCACTTTTTCTATTCCTCTTGCATTTTCCACCAAATGTCCGTTACTATCCTTAAGGGAGACGATGTGATTCCTGACTCTCCTTTGTTTAGTGAGAGCATGGAAGAATTTAGTGTTTTTATCACCGTCTTTGTGCCATTTCTCCCGACTCTTCTGTTGCCAGAACATATCTTCTTCCCTAAGGGCAGCACAGAGTTTCCTCCTGATGTCTTCAATTTCTTCTAGTGTTGTATTATCATCATCTTGGGCTAAGTCCAATTGTTTTTTCAATTCTTCGATCATTTTTTCCGAGTTAGTCGGGAAGGATTTCTTCCAAACAGAGATGTTTTTCCGGCATTGTGCAACCTTTTGATGAAAATCTCGACGTGAGATTTTATCAAAGGGGCCCCACCCGGAAATGACTGTCTCTTTAAAACCAGGCTTTCCAATCCATCTTTTATCGAATCGAAAAGATTTTTTCTTCCTTATGTTGTCGATTTTTATCATAGCTAAGATTGGTCGATGATCCGATCCCCAAAGTTTCATATACTCCACCGAAGAGTGAAAAAATTTTGAAAGCCATTCCTCATTTCCAAGAGCTCTGTCTAGACGGCATTTGACTTTGCCAGACCGTCTTCTTCCAACCCAGGAAAAAGAATTTCCTTTGTATGGGAAGTCAAGCATTCCACAGCTATCTAGCATAGTTCAGAATGGAATAAATGAGCTTTCTGGTCTCCTCCTACCTCCCCGTTTCTCATGATTTTCGGTAATCTCATTAAAATCACCTATCATAAACCAGGCTTCTTTTCTGGTCGTGCTTATCCTTGTTAGACGTTCCCAAACATTTTCTCGATTTTTTACAACCGGATCACCATAAAAAAAGTCATAAAAATTTATGTCAGTCTAGACTTGATTCAACATCAATCAAATGCTCATCAGAATAGATAATAGAGACCGTAGGTTCATCCATATAAAAAAGAGCTAGGCCGCCGCTTCGACCCTCAGTTCAACCGTGAAAACATGGTCATATCCAAAATGAATTTGCATATCTTGCAGAATGTAACGAATATTTTTGGTCTCCAACAAAAAAAAGAAACCTCGGTTAAAAACATTTGTAAAGTTCTTCAAGATGATCTTTTGTCAGATCCGAACCAGTTCCTTGACAATTCCACCCAATGATATTCATATTAGGGAGAAGTTTCTGATTTCTAATTTAAAACTTAGATGTGTAATTTGGGTTATATGTGTTTAACTAATAAGATCCATAAAGGCCCAGCGGCCTACATTAAATCTTGGGCTTAGCCCAGAATTGAATTAGGCCCGCTAATTTGCTGGCCCAGAAGACAGATACAATTAGGTCAAAAAAAGTAATTTTTCCCTGGCCGCCGATGAAGCTTCTCCGCCGCCACAGCCGTCAAGACCGTCGATATCTTCTGAAAGTTGGTGACTTTTGGAGATCCGGCATTTTAGAAACTATCTGGAGCCTTGCCGTCGGATAAGCACCACAAAATTCTTTGGCTTGAAGACACCAATGGAGGTAATAGACATGGATCTCAAAGCCTTCCACGAAAAAAAAAAAATTAGAAGATATGCAGCAGATAGAGGTCTTAGCACAAGGCTAGATACAGAGAAAACTCGCTTTTAGCGGAAGGAGATTCAGTTCCTCAGAGATCGTGGCTTGGTCCTGAGATGAGCATCGCCGGTGAAACCATGAGAAAGAGTACAGATCTTAGAGGGGGAACGAAGAGACCAGGTCCAGGGTTGCGCCGGTGAGACCATGAGAACGAGCAAGCTCAAAAGGAGCAAGAGTTGTGCTGTTCAGATCTGTAAGAAATCAGGTCCAGGTCTTCAAAGGAAGGAGGAGCAGCACCGATAACTTTAAGCAAATCTTAAAACTCTCAACAGTAGAGAATGGAGACAGCTGTCTTCGTCTTCAACAAATAGAAGCACCGTAATCTTCAGCCACACTAGAGAGGAACACCAAAGAGATTCAAAGTCAAGAATATGGGGCAAAAAAGAGATGATCTGAGATCCCCTGAGTCTACATTGGGAAAAGGGCCAGAGAGACAAAGCGTATGCTTCTCACATGACCTCTTTTTA